AAATGCAACAAACTAATATGAATACAATAAATGCAACAAACTAATATCAATACAATAAGTGCAACAAAGTAATACGAATACAATAAGTGCAACAAAGTAACACGAATACAATAAATGCAACAAAGTAACACGAATACAATAAATGCAACAAACTAATATGAATACAATAAATGCAACAAACTGATATGAATACAATAAATGCAACAAACTAATATCAATACAATAAATGCAACAAACTAATATCAATACAATAAATGCAACAAACTAATACGAATACAATAAGTGCAACAAAGTAATACGAATACAATAAGTGCAACAAAGTAATACGAATACAATAAATGCAACAAGCTAATACGAATACAATAAGTGCAACAAGCTAATACGAATACAATAAGTGCAACAAACTAATACAAATACAATAAATGCAACAAACTAATACGAATACAATAAGTGCAACAAGCTAATACGAATACAATAAGTGCCACAAACTAGTATGAATACAATAAGTGCAACAAACTAGTATGACTACAATAAGTGCTAAGTGGAAGGCTCCGGGTAGTACTTCTTGAAGAGGTGAGTCTTCAGCCTGATGAAAGATGGGCAGCGACTCTGCCGTCCTGACGTCAGTGGGGAGTTCATTCCACCACTGTGGGGCCAGGACAGAAAACAGCCGCGACCGGGTCGATCGGCCGCAGGGACCTCTGAGCGCCGGGGCAACCGATCGCCCCGAGGCAGCAGAGCGAAGTGGCCGGGCGGGGGTGTAGGGCTTGACCATGGCCTGGAGATAGGAAGGAGCTGTTCCTTTCACTCCCCTGTAGGCTAGCACCAGAGTCTTAAACTGGATGCGAGCTGTTACAGGGAGCCAGTGTGGAGAACAGAGAAGGGAAGTTGTGTGGGAGAACTTGGGGCGATTGAACACCAGATGAGCTGCAGCTTTCTGGACTTAAACTCAATAATATCTCACTAAAATCGTATCCAAAATGTCGAAATGAAATAAATCACATCCCTGTCTTTGCAATACTGAGAGAAGTTTATGAAGAAAGAAGAACACAGACATTATCAGTATCTGTCCTTCAACCTGCAGCAACCAGCTGGTAGAAGGAGGAGGGCAAGTTTGTCTCAGCCAGCGGCTCGGTTTACAAGAATGAAACAAACTAAACTAAACAGTTAAACAGTTAGACTACAGAGTAGACGGCTTTTGTTGTAGCTTGTTTGTACCAACTCGCAGTGCTTGTAAAAAACATAGTGATGGTGGATGAGAGACTGAGACGAGAGAGAGAAGTTTTGTGGTGCTGCCAATAATCCATCAATTACCTTATTTTCCGCAGTTTTGTCCGCTATGGAAATCTCACTCATATCTTCAGCAATGATATCAGAACAGTTAACTTTATCAATACCTTAATACATACTCCAGTCTTCACTAATTTAGGATTTTCAGGAGGTTCCTGTTTAGAACTGGGTTTCGGGGGTGCACCCCTAATCACACATCCCCTGCCCCTATACCAGAATTAACCAGTTAGCTCCTGTTAGCTAGAGCAGAAGCGTCAAAGTAATTCTGAATCATCCTTTTAGTCGCTGCAGTTCATAAAAACAGTACACAGAAGCTAACATCTCTTATTTATTCAGCTTAACAAGGCTGCACATGCTACCTACCTAGCTAGCTGGTTCACTAGCTAAGCATGGTTCTGATCTTGGTTTATTGCTCATTATCTGAGTTAAGAGACAGTGTTAATGGTTGTGGGTAACTCTGAGTTATCGGGAGTAACCTCGGCAGCGTTTTGATTCTTAAGATGTTTGTCAGAGAAAGAAACATTGCTGAAGATAAAAAAGACAGACTTTCTCTGTGAATGCTCAAGAAGAAGAAACCATTTTTTTATTGTCACACGAAATTTGCCTTCTGCATTTGACCCATCCCTGTATATAGGGAGCAGTGGGCTGCCAATGACAGGCACCCAGAGAGCTGGGGGTTCAGTGTCTTGCTCAGGGACACTACGACATGTGACACATCCCAGTGTTGAACCGTTGACCCTGCGGTTACCAGACAACCCTCTTAAGCCAGTGAGCCACGGTCGTCCCCAAGCTAACGGGCAAGCTAACAAACACTCTTCTCTTGGATGAGAAATAAACTCTCAAGCTGAACTAGCTAGCTAGATACACATAATGCTACAATATATAGTACAATATATACAGAGAGAACAAGAAAATAACAGAACCAAGGAATGAGAAATACAAGAAATATATGCAAATGTGTACCAAAAACAGTTGATGCACTAAATGTGTTATGGAAACTAGGGCTGTCTTTGACCAAAGAAATTCGTAGTCAACTTACACTCGTGATTTTTCAGACTAATCCATTAGTTCAGAGGTCTTCAACAGGGGGTCGCCGAGGTCCTGCAGGGGGGTCGTGAAATTTTTGGTTGATTAGACAATTCTTCATATTTTTCATTTTATTTTATTTTTCACAAATTCAGATGTCTTTAAATACACATTAACATGAATCCAACATATTGTAGCGAATGGGTAAATGGAGGCAGAAGATGTTATCTTTCAGTCAGAAATGCACACATTCAGCGACACACAGGAGCTCTCAAGATGGGCACCAGTCCACTCAGCACGAGACTAGCCTGGACCTGTCCCTCCAAGCCTCCTGCACACAAAGAGGAGGACCCGCCCCTATCGCTGCTGTGCCAATCACGAGGCCACATGTTACATGCAGGCTCTGTCAGGTTCCCCGTGATTGACCGAGAGCCTATTCAGTCCCCAACTGACTAAGAACCCAGACACAAGGACGCACGCTACAATATTATATGAAAAGATGATACAGTTGTAAAAAATAAATGTAAACAACATTTACTTGACCCACGAATCTTTGTGCAATCATTTTTGCAAGATATTCCTGCTAAAGCACTGCAGCTCATATCCACAACAGCCAACTACTGAGGCCAGTATATTATTATAAGTTTTTGGACATTGTTATGAGCGAATATGGATCGTTTTGTAACTCGACCAAAAAACATGAATCTGTCATTATTGTAATAGTTCAGTATTGTATGAAAGATAACAGGTATGTTTATGCATGGCAGTGGCACTAATAGGCCATCACTCATTTTCGTTTCCACATTTATGTTTAAAATTAAAACATCAATTTGAATAGCTTGTATGCATGATTATCATGCTATTGACAGACAATGTTGATGTTGGCATTGGTATCAGCTGACAAGGTATGTTTATAAAAGGCAGTGACACGGCCTCCCTACTCACTGTACCTTGCACATGTTTAAAATAACA